GGATATGCCTCAAATTTTGCACTGTATTATCATACTATATGAGAATATTTTAACTCTATATTTTATTACCATACTATATGAGAATATTTAACGCTCTATATTTTATTATCATACTATATGAGAATATTTATAACTCTATATTTTATTATCATACTATATAAGAATATTAAAGGCTTTATATTTTAATCAAAGGCTTATTAAAGGCTTTATATCTTAATATCATACTTTAAGAGAATATTTAATCACCGTACAATATCTAATTATTATACTCAATGAGAATATTTAAATCTCTGTCTTTCATTATCATACTTTATGCGAATTTGTAAAATTGTACTAAATAGAGTTGTGTAGGGCTGAATATTTTACGATTTTTCTCTGAGTATCTGAGAAGATTTTAATCTATCACCATCAATGTTTCATATAAATGAAATATGATATTTTCTAGTTTTGGAACACGTTTGTAACGTATCCATAATTAAACGAATCAAGACCCTGGTTGTTTTTCTTGTTTCCTGTCGACTAGTGGTCGCGAAAATGAAATGGGGTTTAAGGTCCTGCGTTTTTGCACCGACTGGGCAAATGAAGACGGGAATTCGACATGCAGTGTTCTATGGGGAAAATTTTGCCCGGACAGCAACACTATGGTCTACTCTTTTTTCGAATTCCAACTTTCAATATGGTTATATTACATGCACGCTAATGTGTAAACGGGGTCTCGGTTTTTCGTCTCATCGCAATGACTAGACACTCTTTCTTGTCACGTAGCGCCTTACTCACTGATCAAACGTGGCTTCCAGTAGTTTTCGTAATATCGGTGTGTACCTTTGCAAAAAGTTTTTTTTTCAAAATCACAACATTGTTCAGCTGTTTGCTCTTAATAACTTGGAATTAGACATGACGTAAATTCAGCCATCTTGTAATTGTAATTGTGACGTCCAATCAGGACAAATGTCCAAAGAACAAACAAGTCGAATTTTATGTCGATCTTAACCAAATGGGCAGAGGCTCTGAATCTTTCCGAAGAACATCTTCCCAAGGGCAACAAGAAGAAGAAGAACAATGAGAATGCATTTTAATTCATAACAAAGTAACCTCAATAAACTGATGAATAGCGCTATGTTATTATTTCACGTACAGGTATCAGTCAATTCAGTCTGATTATAACACAGATCTTATTCCGTTTCGTTTTTGATAGTTCAAATTTTCATTTTATTTGTCTGTACTACACTAGGATAAGAGTTATTATATAACAGGCGTTCTAGTTAATGTGAGGAATTGGCCAATAAAATGATCTGTTACGACGACTTCTTGGCGTGCGATGCGCCGAACTGTGGGTTAACAACTAGAAACATCAACTCTGATTGAATAATCAATGTCTCACGTCATAGGGTCAAAAGCCGCTCGTACGACCCCTGACGTGACCTTCCAGTACAACTGATCAGATTTTCATGAAGTGTAGGCCATCGAAGGTATAAAAAACGAAATGAAATATAGATCTGTATTTTAATTAGATTGCAGTCAATTTTGAAGGCAACTATCTGAACTGCTCACTGTATAACCGAGATACAAACTTTTGAATACCGTGAAGACAATGTGCATTGTAATGAAAATACCTCGGTTGCATTAAAAATAATAATTTTACAAAAACTGTGTAATAACATTATGACTTATTCATAAAGATCTGTTCACGTTTTTCCGTGTTTTGTGTGTGTGTGTGTGTGGGGGGGGGGGGGGTGGAAGGCCGAATGGTTAGCACGCGCGCGCTGTATCATAAACCCTGTCATTAAGTCAACTGGCTTGGTTTCGAATCCCCGGTTGTCCGTGACAAGGAGTAGGGTCGCCTGTCCAACCTCGTGGGTTTTCTCCGGGTCCTTCGGTTTCCTTCCACTGCTAAAGACCCCTACGCGCAAGCGAATTATTGAAATAAAATTAAACCACATGTTAATCCAGAAATGACAGGGTTTGTGTCGTGTGGACGTTAAACCCCATTTCTCTCTCCCTCTCTCTCTTTTCCGTGCTTTGTGTCTCTGGGTAAGCTAGAGGTAACCTATATATCTGATTAAAATTTCTGTTCCAACTGGATTACACTTGCCTTAACTGGATTACAAGGGCGAGGCTACTATTTGATCACTTCAATTTTCTCTGGAACCGACACATATATCGGCGACAATGGGATGGGATGGGAGAGGGATTATTGGGGAGTGGTTTATTGGAGAGAGAGAGAGAGAGAGAGAGAGAGAGATGGGGTTTAACGTCCACTCGACACAAACTAGGTCATTTCGGGACTAACATATGGTTTTAATTTTATTTCAATAATTTGCTTGTGCGTAGGGGTCTTTAGCAGTGGGAGGAGAAAACCCACGAGGTTGGACAGGCGACCCTACTCCATGTCACGTAAAACCGGGGATTCGAAACCACGCCAGTTGACTCAATGACAGGCCTTATGATACAGCGCGCGCGTGCTAACCATTCGGCCATCCAACCCCCCTGGTTTATTGGAATGGAATGGGTTTGTTGTAATGATGATGGGGTTTATTGGAATGGGGATGGAGTTTATTGTAATGGAGTGCGGTTTATTGTAATACAATGGGGATGGGGTTTATTGGAATGGGATGGGGTTTATATAATGGGATGTGATTTACTGGAATTGGGATGGGGTTTATTTAATGGGATAGGGTTTATTGGATTGGGGATGGGGTTTATTGGAATAGGATAGGGTTTATTGGAACGGGATGGGGTTTATTGGAATGAAATGGGGATGGGGTTTAATGAAACAGAATGGTTTTCTTTTAGAATGTGATGTGATTTATTGGAATGTGATGTAATTTTTATACGCCCACATTTTCATGTGGACGTATTATTTCGTCGCCCCTGTCCGTCCGGACATCAATCCGTCGGTCCACAATTTGTTTGTGCACACTCTACAGGTCATAATTTTTATCCGATTTTGATCTCCCACAGATCTCTGTTCCTTTCGATATTGGCATGTATCGGATCATAACTTCATGGATTATAGAACCTGGTTGTACCAAAAATCACGTTTTAGCTTGTGGTCCCTCTAGAGGTCACAATTGTTATCCGATTTAAAAAAAAAAAAACCTTTGAATATATCACCGTTACACCGTAATGTTGGTTGAGTTCGAATTTCGTGAAAATCGGGCCAAAACTGCCGGACAAAATGGCCGCCTCTCGTACGCAAATAGGTTGTGGACCCTCTAGAGGTCACAATTTTGATCCGGTTTTGATAAAACTTGAAATGCATGTTTATAACCCAATGATATTGGTTCCTTTCGATATTCGTGCATATTTCTGAATTTTTTTCCCCACCTTAAAAATATATCACCATTCCACCATAATGAAGGATGAATTCGAATTTCGGGAAAGTTGAAATGAAACTGCCCAACAAAATGGTCTTTCTTTGTACGCAAATGGTGTAAAAATATTGTAATACGAAGGTTATGGACCTTCTAGAGGTCACAATTTTTATCCGATTTTGATGAAACTTAAAACACATCTTTATACCAAGGTTCTCGGTCCCTTTTGATATTTGCGCATTTCAGACGATAACTTTCTGGATTATTACCCTGATTGTACAAAAAATCGCGTTTGTTTTTAGCTTGTTCTCTATCCATCTCTTGCAAAATGTGGGCGTATCCTGACTGGCAGTCGCTGGTTTGGAATGGAATGGGTTATTGGAATGGGATGGGGTTTCTTGGAATGGAATGGGATGGGAATGAATGAAATGTGATGTGATTTATTGGAATGGAATGGGGTGTGGTTTATTGGAATAGAATGGGATGGAGTTTATTCAAATAGAATGGGGTTTAATGTCTCGGTATTTTGAGACTAACATATGTTATTTTATATTTCAATGTTTACCGATAATATGGGGAGAATTTTACCCAGGACAGTGTCGTTTCCGCATACACCTCATCGCATTCCAACTGTTAATGGTTCTTGTCCGTGGATAATGTCAACAGATGGACCCATGTTTTCATCATCTCATCCGAACGACTAGACACACTTTGCTTGTTAATCCGACAAGCGCCACCCCTGTCAGGCAGTCCAGAACTGTGTTTTTCCTATGCCTACGACGTGTCCGAACCACGAACCACCTCTTTTGTGTTCTCGTAGACTTTGGCTTCCAACCCCTACCCCAATTTCAGAATTTGCACATACCCTATTAAATTCGCTGACACTCTGGGAAATCCCGGATATGCTACACAATATTTATATGAATTGACTTTGCCTTGTTACATCTGTATGATTGTGCTTCTCACGACAGGATTACATAGTCTGCAACTGGCAGTGAACACAACTGACAACAATTCAATCATAGATTCATACATTATGAAATAAAGCATGTGAACGGTGATACAGTAATAAACAATATCTACAACATATTGTCAATCGTTCAAACAGTGATGACCTGCCTCAGACTATAAAATAATTTGAATGAAATTTTCAAAATTAATTTTGCATTAACTATTATAGCAAGAACGATCAGCTCTTTATCTAAATCTTATATTTAATATACAGGAGAGAGAGAAATGGGGTATAACGTCCACTCGACACAAACTAGGTCATTTCGGGACTAACATATGGTTTATTTTTTTTTCAATAATTCGCATGCGCGTAGGGGTCTTTAGCAGTGGGAGGAAACCGGAGGACCCGGAGAAAACCCACGAGGTTGGACAGGCGACCCTACTCCTTGCCACGTACAACCGGGGATTCGAAACCACGCCAGTCGACTCAATGACAGACTTTATGATACAGCGCGCGCACGCTAACCATTCAGCCATCCAACCCCCCTGATATACAGGAAAATCAGAATGAAATGAAATGTAATGGGGTTCAACGTCCTACTCCGACGGGGCTAATGAAGACAGGCATACGCCATAAAGCGTGCTATATGAGGGAAATATTGCCCAGGCAGCGACACTATGGCTTACTCTTATATTGAATTCTAAATGCCAAGGGATCTTTTACATGCACACCAATGTATAGACGGGACCTCGGGTTTTCGTCTCATCGGAATGATGACCATTAATGACAATATCATAAGTTTTTTAATTTTATCTTCCATTTATTTATTTTTACAAAAGATTGTTATAGCCACCCTTCCACATATACCTATACTTTACAATACTAAGACAACACAAGAATCTATATAAATTGCAACATATATGCCCAGTGCTCACTCTGGGTTCCATTTGTTTCCGCCAATGTTTTATTTTAATTTATTAACCATACATTTTTTCCACCAAAAAAAAAAAAAAATAAAAAAATAAATAAAAATATCTGTTAGTTTTTTTCAGTAATTTTTATTACATTTTTGCTTTCAATATAAATACATACAAAAGACATACATGTACGGTGTTACAATTTACAAAATTCTTCTCTGCTTTGCAGAGACCCAATTTTAGTACACTACAACCAGTTGTGAATGAATTTGTAAAGCTAGTTGATTGTAGCAATATTGCTAGAATTTCTCTATAATGATGGCATTATATTGTATTAATTAATGTCTTTGGCTAATTGTACTAAAAATGAGTGACAGGTTGACATATAAAAAGAGTTATAGAATCAAAACATAGCTGTTTTATGTGTCAAGAAAAAAATCACCAGATCACACGTGATTGGAAATTTATTAATTGCATTATTTGACTTAAGTAACCGATCATCTCAGTAATTGCACAGGTCCAGGGTCATGAATAGATTAGTCTGTGTGTGGTGTCCATATGGGTGCTATAAAAGAAATCCTGGCAAGCCTTTAAGGCAGATTTTCATTAGATTCCGTAGATTACATATGAGTTCCTAGACCATATGATATAGCAAAATCGGGGCGAGTCTGGCTGGATGGGGTTTGAGAGAATGACTTTATTATATTATGCATTGTACCATATGTAACCAGCTTAATATATAAAATGTAAAAAGGAACTGTTGCATTGTTATTCCTGGCAAGACAAAAGTCTTAACTTACTGACATAGATAAGAAGAAGAGAATACACAACGTGAAGGGGAAGCAAAAGACGGTAAGTGAAATTACTAGACGATCACAAGGCTACTAAGATATGTAGTAAGAAAAGAATGCATGGGTCATACGTAGGATGTGGCGACCGGTTTTAGGGTGTGCCCGCTTTCCACGTCTGACAAAAGATGTAGCAATATCGTCGTGGCGACATTGTTTTTAAATGTATAGACAAAGAATAGAGAAATAAGATAGCTGTATATTTCATTAATTAATATATTTGGCAAGTTAGGAGTTTCAAACATATTCACAAATATATTATATATAGTGTGTACTTAAATCAACTTAGGGTATATATAAATGACATATTGTTATATAAAAAAAAGAGTTATTTAGCCAAAATATGTGTCTATAAAATACCACAGAGAGCACGTGTGAAAGGAAAAGTACTATTGCGTCATTGGGTTTAATTAAACCAATCATTTTGTTAATTACACAAGTTCATGGCCATGAACACGCTCTGTTATGCGCGATATACGTGAGTGCTATATAAGATATTTATTTGAAACAGAACTCCATTAGATTCCAGAGAGGTTCCATCTGAGTTCCTAGACAGCCGCGAGGCTGGCTAGGGTGGAGAAATGGTTTTAGCTAGTATTGTAATCTGTGCTATGCTTGTATACATATATTCGGCTATGCTATATAAAATGTTGCATTGTTATAACTGGGGAAGGCAAACGTCTTAAGAAAGCAGTAAGAAGCAAACCCACAACGTGAAGGAGAAGCAAAGACAGCTAGAGACAAATTCTAGACGACCACAAGGCTGCAGAAATATTTAGTAAGAAAAGATGCATGGGTCGTATGTAAGATGTGGTGACCGGTCTGACATCTCCCGCTCTCCACGTCTGACAGAAAGGCCCATGGTGCTACAAAGACCCATGGTGCTACATGATACACGTGTGGAACAAAACATTGCTTTGGTAGCTGCATCATCAAGGATTTGAAAATACTAAGACAACACAAGAATCGATGTAAACTGCAATATATATATATATATGCATGTTTATCTTAAAAGATTGAAGGAATAAATGATTTTTGATTTTGTTCTTAAAAGTAGGTCTCTTAACATTTATAACAGGAGATGATGTCATATGGTTAACTTACACCATAAATCAGGTGCCTGAACACTAAAAGATCTTTACCAAAAATGTAAAGGTTTGGACTTTAAAGAAAAATATCATCTGAAGAACTTAAACATGGCCATGATGCATACATATTTAAGAGTTCAGATAAATAAACAGGTGCTAAGTTGTTCAAACATTTAATCAATTCTATAAGAAATAGGTAACCAGAGTAAATGTTTTAGAATTGGGCTAATGTGATTATAATTTTTTTTTATGCTGTAATAATTTACATTTTTTTTTTCAGAAATATCAAAAAAAAAAGAGTAAAGTTCAGGAAATTTTAATCATCTATACATATGAAAAAAAAAAGAAACAACATAAAAATGTGTTGTTATCAGCAAAATTAATTTTTTTTTATAATAAAAGTTTTTTTGGGGGAAAATCTATGGATAGGTAGCGACCTTAATAATAACATAATCCCATATACAGGCCACAATTCTATGAAATACAATTACTGCTTATTACTGAGCTACGTTTTGATTAGGCTTGATCAAGCAGTGAAGCGTCGCTCAGTAATGAGCAGTAATTGTATTCCATAGAATTGTGACCTGTTTATATTCCAGTTTAATTACTATATATCACTGAAAGAATAATACAACACTATGTGGTACTTTATCTAGAGTATAATAATTAACATCTAGATGTACATGTATGCGTGGTACTTTACCTAGAGTACAATATCTAGTTGATTGTTTGCATCTAGATGTGCATAATAAGAATAAAGATGGTCAAACACCTCTAGATTATTGTAGGGGATCATTCACTGAATCAGATGAAAAGATAAAATATATTAAAGCTAAATCCTCCTATTTCGCGTTATAATCATACAATACCACATGTAGCATGTATGTTTAGTACTTTATCTAGAGTACAATATCTAGTTGATTGTTTGCATCTAGATGTACATAATAAGAATAAAGAAATTATAAGTATTTTTTTTCAATAAAGGTGTTATTGTACGGTTCGTACAATACAACACGAGGGATGTCTAGAAGGTATTTTATCTACAGTACAATATCTAGTTGATTGTTTGCATCTAGATGTACATAATAAGAATAAAGAAATTATAAGTATTTTTTTTCAATACAGGTGTTATTGTACGGTTCGTACAATACAACACGTGGCATGTCTAGAAGGTATTTTATCTACAGTACAATATCTAGTTGATTGTTTACACATAAATGTTCATATACAGAAAGTTTTTTTTTAAACCACACACAGTTATTTCACTGTTGTAAATCAGGTGTAAGTCATGTAGATAAAATAAAATATCTAGTCAGTAAAGAATCTGATATTAACACTCGAGATAGTAGTAAGAATACAAGGCGGCATGTGAGGAAGGTACTTTATCTAAAGTACAATATCTAGTTGATTGTTTACATATGAATGTTAATATACAGACAGGTTTTTAAAAGCACAGAGTTATTTAACATGTAAGTCATGTAGATAAAATAAAATATCTAGTCAGTAACCATTCTGTAATGTCCTATAGCTTTTCCTTTAAATTATATTGATGATATTGTTACAAAATTAAAAGGCAGCAAATATTTTAGTGTTTTAGATGCAAATATGGGTTTTTACCAAATTAAATTATCAGATAATAGTTCAAAATATACAACTTTTAATACACCTTTTGGTAGATATAGACATCTTCAAATGCCTTTGGGAATCAGTAGTGCACCTAGAGTATTTCAGAGAGCGATGCAATAACTTTTTGGAGATTTAAATGATGTAAAAATCATGATGGATGATGTTTTAGTACATGGTACAATCATTGAAGAACATAACAATAGACTTGAACATAATTTAAATTTCAGTCCACAGAAACCAAATTAGGGCAAACAGAAGTAAATTACTTAGGACATATACTAACGCAAAAGGGATTGAAACCATTACCTACACGCATCGATTCCATCGTTAATCAAAAAAGATCCAGAAAACCATATACGAGTTAGAAACCGTTATGGGCATGATTGCCTATGTTTCTAAATTTGGAACAAATTTAAGCCATATAAATGCGCCATTACGCGAATTGAAAACCAACCCAGAATGGACATGGGGTTCAGATGAAAAAGACGCATATGAAAAAAAATCAAGCAAGCCTTAATTTCAGCGCCAGTCTGAATATTACGGTTTGACCAAACCAGTTTTACTTAGTGTAGATGCATCAACCAAAGCATAAGGAGCAGCAATTATACAAGAAGATGGAATAATTGCATATGCATCCAGATCATTAACGGTAACAGAACAAAAGTATGTTCAGATAGTGAAAGAAATGTTAGCTGTAGTTTTTGGATGCTCCAGATTTCACAAGTTGATATATGGGAAGAAAGATGTTAGAATTGAAAGTGATCAGAAACCATTAGAGCGTTTATTTCGAAAACCGATTCAGATGAGAATTCAGAGAATGATGTTAAAATTACATCCATATCATTTTACTTTAAATTATACAAAAGGCAAATCTATTGGATTAGCCGATTGCTTAAAACGGTTGTCAGAAAATAAAACAGATCCAGAGATGGAAGACGAAGAACTAATGGTTTGTATAGTAGATACTTTAGCTAATAGTTGTCATGATCAAATAGCCAGTGAAACGTGGAAAGATACAGCATTACAAGAAGTTAAAAACTCTTATACTCAATGGATGGCCCGAGAGCAAAAAAGATGTTCCTACCCAAGCAGTACAATATTTTGATCTTAGAGAAGAACTCACGCAAACTATTAATAAATTTCTGTTAATTTGAAATTTAAAATTGAAATGTCATAATATATATTTAGGTGTGAATTTTTTTTTTGATAATAAAAGTTTTTTGGGGGGAAATCTGTGGACAGGTATCGATAGTTTTAATAATACAATCTTATATACAGGGAACAATTCTGAGGAATACAATTACTGGTTATTACTGAATGATGTTTTAATTAGGCTTCACTTGCCTTTATCAAGCAGTGAAATGTCGCTCAATAATGAACAGCACATGTATTCCATCATCTTCAATAGAAGGCTTGATCTAGCTTTAACTATGTACATCTTATCAAGGTCGTCACGTAATACCCTGCATATTTCGGCACTAATTTCGATTGGGTATTCGCCCAATCATCATCGCCAATACCATATTTCACGTTCTTCATCTGAAATGTCTACATGTGATAATCGAGTTGCAAAGCTCAAGGTTCGTTCAATGTCAAGGTTTCCGTGGAGGTCGCTATGTCACAACCTCTGATTGGACACTACTGTTTACGTGTCTGCAGATAACGTAGCTAAAAGTTCGGGAATTATAAAGTAATATAGCAACGTCCAGATGTTGTAAAACTTGCAGTCGTTGCTTCAGGAAAATGGTATTCCATAGAATTGCGACCTGTATATATCCCGGTTCAATTACTATATATCATTGAAATAATAATACAATACTATGTGGTACTTTATCTAGAGTACAATATCTAGTTGATAATTAACATCTAGATGTACATGTATGCGTGGTACTTTACCTAGAGTACAATATCTAGTTGATAATTAACATCTAGATGTAAATGTTAAGAGAGAAGATGGTCAAACACCTCTAGATTATTGTAGGTTATCAGACACTGAATCAGATGAAAAGATAAAATATATTAAAGCTAAATCCTCCTATTTCAGGTTATAATCATAAAATACCACATGTAGCATGTATGTTTAGTACTTTATCTAGAGTACAATATCTAGTTGATTGTTTGCATGTAGATGTACATAATAAGAATAAAGAAATTATAAGTATTTTTTTTCAATAAAGGTGTTATTGTACGGTTCGTACAATACAACACATGGCATGTCTAGAAGGTACTTTATCTAAAGTACAATATCTAGTTGATGATTTACACATGAGTGTTAATACAACAGGTTATAGCAACCGTACACCGTTATTTCACTGTTGTAGATAACATGTAAGTCATGTAGATAAAATAAAATATCTAGTTAGTAACAATGCGGATATTAACACTAAAGACAGTAAGAATACAGCGCAGCATGTGAGGAAGGTACTTTATCTAAAGTACAATATCTAGTTGATGATTTACACATGAGTGTTAATACAACAGGTTATAGCAACCGTACACCGTTATTTCACTGTTGTAGATAACATGTAAGTCATGTAGATAAAATAAAATATCTAGTTAGTAACAATGCGGATATTAACACTAAAGACAGTAAGAATACAGCGCAGCATGTGAGGAAGGTACTTTATCTAAAGTACAATATCTAGTTGATTGTTTAGCCTACATATGAATGTTCAGAAGGTGTTTTAAAGCACAGAGTTATTTAACATGTAAGTCGTGTAGATAAAATACAATATTTAGTCAGTAACAATGCGGATATTAACACTAAATAGAGTAGTAAGAATCCAACGATGCATGTAAGTTAGGTACTTTATCTAAAGTACAATATCTAGTTGATTGTTTACATATGAATGTTAACATACAGAAGGTGTTTAAAAGCACAGAGTTATTTAACATGTAAGTCGTGTAGATATGAATGTTAATATACATGTGAGGAAGGTACTTTATCTAAAGTACAATATCTAGTTGATGATTTACATATGAATGTTAATATACAGAAAGTTTTTTTTAAACCACATGTAAGTCATGTAGATAAAATACAATATCTAGTCAGTAACCATTCTGTCTATTCAAATGGAGTAAGTATCCATCTCAAAACAACTTTTAAACCACATGTAAGTCATGTAGATAAAATACAATATCTAGTCAGTAACCATTCTGTCTATTCAAATGGAGTAAGTATCCATCTCAAAACAACTTTTAAACCACATGTAAGTCATGTAGATAAAATACAATATCTAGTCAGTAACCATTCTGTCTATTCAAATGGAGTAAGTATCCATCTCAAAACAACTTTTAAACCACATGTAAGTCATGTAGATAAAATACAATATCTAGTCAGTAACCATTCTGTCTATACAGTGTGAAGTACATACCAATATTAACTCATTCTTATACCTCATTATACATAGCGGCATGTGAGTTAGGTACTTTATCTAAAGTACAATATCTAGTTGATGATTTGCATAAGAATGTTAATATACATTTAGTTGACACATTAGGTATTAACTGAGAATGTACATGTTAAGAATATATATATTAGCAAACAGCTCTGCATTTTTTGTCTTAGTGAGAGGGATAAGATTGGTCTGCTAATCATAAAAGAGTACGTTAACCATGGTATGTTATCTACAGAACAATATCTAGTTGATAGATTGGGTATGAACTAATAATGTACATGTTATATATGTTGGCAAACAGCTCTACAACTTTTGTCTTTGTGAGAGGGATGAGATTGGTCTACTGATCATAAAGCAGTAAAATATCTGAAATTCAGACTCATCCATCTAACTTATGTGGAATTAGTCACCTAAAATCCAAAATATGGATCAAGGTATTTCAGGATGTTTTTTAAACCCAGGCATGTTCAGGATTTCTTTGACTGGCATTTAGTATCAATTACTTGATAAAGAAAAAATGAAATGAAAATAAAATGAAATGATATTTAACGTCCTACTTTTCTGCTCCGACTGAGCTAATGAAGACGGGCATACGCCATAAGGAGTGCTCTGAGGGAAATTTTGCCCGGGCAGTGGCAGTATGGTTTACTCTTATATCTAATTCCAACTGTCAAGGTTTCTTTTATGCACATGCCAGGCCCTCTGTCCTGCATCACTGGCAAGTTGGAACCACGCTGGAAAATCCTGATGAACTTTCTCGGCCAACGCAGCGAAGGAACAGGTGACTTCCATGTTAGCGAGCCAATGCCTTACTCTGTGAGTCACTGTGGCTTCGTCAAAATGTTGCATGTTAATAACTCAGTAATTGTTCTTCTATAAGTAGCTTGTATTTCAGGATGTTTTTTTCAAACTTAGGATTGTTTAGCTGGTTGTTAATAGGACTGTATTAAGATTCAGAGTCAACCAACACTGTTATACACGTCGTTAAAACTGAGAGCAATTATTGAAAATGATGTTGCTACACATGTATATGTTATCCTGGACAATGTGTATATCTACATTCAATCCAGTTTACACAAGTAACATTTTTCAAATGGAGTAAGTATCCATCTCAAAACAACTTCACAAGTTGAATTAATTAAATAAATACTTTCATGTTTCACCTATGATGTTGTTTGTGTCATCTCGAGACAGGTAAAAACAGAAATTTCTGCGAACTGTTGGTAAGATATATTTATCATAATGATTTATCTAAATGTATGTCTGTGTCTGGTTGGATTAAATAACCACCATTTTTCTGCCACGTTTCCAGGGCATCGTTGACCACTCTATCACCACAGTCTGTTGGTATCTGCATTAAAAATGTAAAATAAAAAATGACAATTAGTCACAACAAGTCACATTCATAATGGGCTTACAAAAAAAAAGGGGGCGGGGGGTAAGTGTCGAAATGGTTAACAGGCGTACATTGGCTCATAAGGTTGGTCACCGAGTCAAGTGGCATGGTTTTGATTTCCCGCTTCTACATGACAAGGAGTTGAGTCACCTGTCTAACCTCATGGGTTTTCTCTGGGTCCTCTTCCGGATTCCTGCCACTGCTAAAAAAAACCTATGCACAAGCAAATTATTGAAATTTTTTTTTTAAAAAACCCATTTTAGTCCAGAAATGACCTACTTTGTGTCAGTGGAATTAGACCCCACCTCTTTCTCTCTCTCCTCCTTCTCCCCCCCCCCTCTCTCTCTCTCTCAAAAAAAAAAGAAATATTAGGCTGAATTGTGTGGTTAGTACACAGCATAAGATAAAGCTGAAAGTCCTTGTAATTACAAGTAGATTCAAGACAACATTCTTCTCCATTTTAAACAGAGCAATGGAGTTTAATATTCACTAAACACAAACTAGGGACCAACAAATTGAATAATTCTATTTTTAACTGTCAAATCTTCTTGTAAATGCACACCAATGGGTACAGAGCAATGGAGTTTAATATTCACTAAACACAAACTAGGGACCAACAAATTGAATAATTCTATTTTTAACTGTCAAAGCTTCTTGTAAATGCACACCAATGAGTACATGGGACCTTGTTTTTTCGTCCCATCCAAAAGACTAGACACTGCCTTTGCCCAGCTCTCCATCCTACACAAGGGGAAACCACACTGGAAATTTCTCGGACTAACCTGGCACCCAACCCGAGACTTTCTGGCATGCACATATAAATAAAAGAATGATTTACCTTTTTAAGATATGTGATCATATCATCTGTATTGTTCATACTTAATAACGGTCTTTTAAAGGTGAGAAAAATAGAAACAGCAACATAGATTAAAATAGTCAGAGATCCACCAATCACTTTATCCCAGATCCTGTAAATAAAATACCATCATTAGGTGCACAATTCAGAACACTTAAAATTCCAGGAGTTTTCCAGGAGTTAATTACTAGATTCCAGGAGTCCCTGTATAGAATTTTACATCATAATGTATTTTTTCTTAAAATATATAGCGAAACCACAAATGTTAATTTTCCAGGAGTTTCAAGGAGTAATAATGTTTTTCAAGGATTTCCCAGTACTGGAAAACATATTTTCATTTTTCCAATATTTTCAAGGAGTTTCAAGGAGTGTGCGAACCTTGTTATATGAAAGGGTAATCATGTCCAAGAAATAAGTTTGCACTCGCCTTACAAGAAAGTTTGTGCGGTTAGTGACAAACTGTCTCTGTCTCTCTCAGGGGTGCCGCAGCTATACATGTGACTTGGGCAGTTTGGGGCACTTTCAGAAGTACTATTGCAAGGAAGTCCAGAGATAAAGCGTTAGATGATGTTCTATAAATTTTCGTAAGCAATTCTTTAAAAATATCTTCACCTTTCAAATGATGTTTCTGGTAAGACATCACCAAAACAACCTCGAAACCAGTCTATTAAAGGGAGATAATCTAATACATTATTCTGCTCCAAATGATGGAATAACTTTAAATCACAGTCTTCTTTTTTTAAACAGATCACAGTTTTATCAACCTGAAACAGAAATTAAACACTGATTGGTTATATTTAATACTAATCAATGATTGGTTATTTTGGTATACTGACCATTGATTTATACATGTCTACTGATCATTGATTGGTTAAATTTATATATATATATATATATGTATACTAACCATTGATTGGAAATCTTCGTCTAACTGATGAAAATAGGAGAAGAATTTGGTGGAGATCCAGTATTGTTCTATTCTATCATCCGTTAAACTACACACCCCTCGGGCTATTGATAAAAACCCACTATATCTTGGATCACGTCTCTATAAAACACCAGAATAAACACATGACTTTTAAATTTCATTATTGAAACTACAAAACACCAGAATAAACACATGACTTTTAAATTTCATTATTGAAACTACATGTATTGTAGCAAAGATGAAAATATGTGAATCAGTTTATGTGGCACACAGCCATCTTAAGAATATCTTAGGCTCCCAAGGATCAATATGCAACTCATGCAACAAACCATTGCCCAATTCTTGAGAAACTCGCATTGTGTGCTAAAAATAGTTCCCGGTAAATCATCAAATCGGAATGAACTTTTTGAAGTCAAGATGTGGAAAATGTTCCAAGGATCATTAATATGTAACTCATGCAACAAACCGTTGCCTAATTGTCAAGAAATCAGCAACATTTCATTCTAACAATGGCGAATAAGTAGCCACTGGGGGCGGAGCTAAGGAACCGATTTCACGCTGATTAATGGTCAGCGAGTTTTACAAGAGATAAGCAAAGGGTAAAGTTATCTCTGGGATCGAGATAGCATCAAAGTGGGTAAATTCGAACATCACGCTTCGTCACCCCACTCCACTGCAACATATGTGGTACATATAACCGGCATGACCCCATGAATCTTTTAGGACATCAAATTTAGGCCACAAGCGAATTGGGCCTGGGCCCTGGGCGAATCATGCTTCATTGCTGCACTCCATCCCCACATGTGTGTTACCAAATTAACCATCATCACTCATGACTATTTAGGTCATCAAATTTGGGCCACAGGTGAGATGGGCCTTGGGTGAAGCGCTGGGTATTTTGCTAGTTTACCATATTAGTTTCCTCAAAGGGGAGACAACCCTGGTCTAAAAGATACATCTTGAAGAGAATTTCTTCTTCCGGTGTTTGACTAGAGATTCTACGTAAAACCGTTAAACCATGGTGGATATCTTTATACTGTTGATTTCTCTGATCTGTTACAAATTTATGTGAATCTTGACTTGTTGGTAAAATTCCTAAAGAAATAAAAATAGATTCATGTTTATCCTCTGATTAAAGATGCATTATATTGCCAATCTAATTAAAAAGCAGATTCTATTTCATTTCGTTTTTTATAGTTCTAAATTTTGTTTTACTTGTCTTCACAACACTAGAATCTGGAAGAGTTGTTATATAACAGGCGTTCTAGTTGATGTGAGGAATTAGCCAATGAAACGGTCTGTTAAGGCGAGTTCTTGGCGTGCTCTGCATGGAACTGTTAGTGAACCCCTAGAAACGTCAACACTGATTGGTTAATAATCAATGTCTGACGTCATAAGGTCAAAAGACGCTCATATGACCTCTGATGCGAACCCCCCAGATCTTCATGTAGTGTAGGCCATCAAATGTATAACAAACTAACAGTGAGGCTGATGTCCCCCGCCGAAATAGGAAAATAATTAGAGGACACATATAAATTTATCACAAATTATCTTTTACAAAGTATTGAACAATCAAACAGTATATCTTTACTTATAGTCTAACAATCAAAGTAGGAGAGTTATTGTTTTCCAAAGTCTCGACCAATCAAATTGCGTATCGCTCTGCTTACCCTGAGCAGAAAATGCTCATTATCAAACTTAGTCAAGGTATTACTGTAATGAAACTATACACCAAGTTTCATCAATCTCACTTAATTAGAACAAAAGTTACCGTGTCCCAAAGCATCAACCAATCAAACTGCTTATCTCTGCTTACCCTAAGCGGAAAATGCTCATCTTCGAACTCCATCAAGGCATTGACCTAATCAACACATACACCAAGTTTGAACATTCTAGCTCAATTAGGAAGAGAGTTATCGTGCCCCAAAGTATCAACCAATCAAATTGCTTATCTCTGCTTACCCTAAGCGGAAAATGCTCATCTTCGAACTCCATCAAGGCATTGACCTAATAAACACATACACCAATTTTGAACATTCTAGCTCAATTAAAAGTTATCGTGTCCCAAAGCATCAACCAATCAAATTGCTTATCTCTGCTTACCCTAAGCGGAAAATGCTCATCTTCGAACTCCATCAAGGCATTGACCTAATCAACACATACACCAAGTTTGAACATTCTAGCCCAATTAGGAAGAGAGTTATCGTGTCCCAAAGCATCAACCAATCAAATTGCTTATCTCTCCTTACCCTAAGCGGAAAATGCTCATCTTCGAACTCCATCAAGGCATTGACCTAATAAACACATACACCAAGTTTGAACATTCTAGCTCAATTAGGAAGAGAGCTATTGTGTCCCAAAAAGTGTGACGGACAGACAGACGGACAGACAGACGGACGAACCCATTTTAATAGTCCCCTGCTTTCTTCGAAAGGCGGGGGACAAAAAAACGAAACAAAATATAGATCTGTATTTTAATCAGATTGGCAGTAGGACGTTAAACTCCATTTCATTTCATTTAATCAGATTGGGCAACTGTATTCTCTAAAGTCCAGTTGTCAGGAGAAATCGATGCCACTATGGTATTCTGTTTCAAGAGAGAGAGAGAGAGAAATGTGGTTTAACGTCCACTCGACCCAAACTGGGTCATTTCGGGACTAACATATGGTTTAATTTTATTTTAATAATTTGCTAGCACGTAGGGGTCTTTAGCAGTAGGAGGAAACCATAGGACCCGGAGAAAGCCCACGAGATTGGACAGGCGATCCTACGTACAACCGGGGATTCAAAACCACACCAGTTGACTCAATGACAGACTTTATGGTACAGCGCACACGTGCTAACCATTCAGCTATCCAACCCCCTGTATTCTGTTTCAAACACTGTTTATTCAATACATATTTACGTACCGGTAATTATGGTATCTGAAAACAAATGAAATGAAATGGAGTTTAACGTCCTACAGTTCTGCTCCGAACTGGGCTAATGAAGACGGGTATACGCCGTACAGTGTGCTATGAGGGAAATTTTGCCCGGACAGCGGCACTACGGCTTACTTTTATATCGAATTCCAACTGTCAAGGGATCTTTTACATGCACGCCAATGTGTACACGGGACCTCGGTTTTTTGGCCGCCAAGTCGGTTAGAAGTCAGAGACATATTTTTTAACAAAGTGTTGTGTCTCTATACTGACCCTAGCGAGGTAAGCAAGGTCTTATTTTCTCACTAAGATGTTCCTTTACAATGTACAATCATTCACACCATCACCGATTAGCAGTAAAAAGTTGCCCAGTAAGATTGACTGGGGCAGATCTCAGTTTCGACAACGCCACGGACAAGGCCGTTCAGGGAGAGTTCCTGAACGTACAGCCAGGCCGAGTGTAATGAGAACTAACTACGTTCAGAGCTGAACTAGGCATAACCATGCATTAATCAATCACAGTCACGTGTTTGAAACATCATTATTACACAATTCAGTGAGATTCTGATGCTTTAATTACCTAGGAGAACTTTCCAAACCATCAATCTGTACATAGCCGGAAGAGAGAAACGTAGACAGAAATGTCTCAATTTATCGGCATCTAAAAACGGTTCTTTTAACAAGCTCAGAATCTCAACAGATTTTTTTTCTTCCACCTCATCTTCCAGACGAAATCCACACTTTTTATAATAATACTGTCGGAAATTTCTTTCCTCTGTCATTTTAGTTTTTTAAAGTTTTGTAAGACATATAAAACGCTTTATGGCTCAAGACGTGAAGACAGGAAGAAAGTCCAGTTTACGGCGTCACATGAGTAGTCTCGGTTACCCAGTAAACTCGTCCAAAAAGAACTCGACCACAGCAACTAGTTAAGTCGTCCACAAGGTAATGGTTATGCCGACCAATACTTTATTCGTACTCTTCAATTGTATGGAACAAACAAGTTTTACTCATTGGTTGTTTAATGGAAGATAAGAGACCCAATCTATTTCACAGGGGTAGTGCGAATGCCTTCTTCTGTAGCTGCGAAACAAAACAATTAATTTTTGAAATTATTCTTTCAAGAAATCTTTCAAGAAAATAGGTATTTTATCCAAAAACCTAAATTAAAAAAAAAAAAGAACAAAAAATTCAGTCTTTTTACAGGAATGATAGAACGTAGCTGCAACATTTGTGAGTCGTGAAATTTGTCTTAATTGGAGCAAGACGGAAGACACCATTTCTAGATAGAAAGAAAGGGTGACAGTCAATGACGTCATATATATATATATGACGTCAATTGATGCCAGTTAACTCTATGAACTCTTTCACAAGCAAAGTCGTCAACAGTTAAATCGTCCACAACTCGTGCACAATTTGAATGTATGGAATAAATAAGTTTTGCTCGTTGATTTTTGTTGATAACCGATCACGACCAAGATTAGTTCACCGCTGTATATTCGTATTGTTTGTTAATTGGCGTTATGATTTTAGGTCAATTCACCGATGTTTTTGTAATAAAGTGTATTCGAATTGTTATTTAACTGGCGTTATGATTTTAGATTTATGATTATTTCACCGATGTTTTTGTGATAAAGTAAACTGGTATTGTTTATCAATTGGCGTTATGATTTTAATGTTTAGACAGCATTTAATTGACTTGATATGAAATCTGAATATAAATTATTCGATGGATAAACGTTTGTGATCAGATTAGTTTATAATGTCTAACATAGTTTATCTTGTTTATGGGGATCACGTGGCTATGTGGGTAAGACGCTGGCTCGCTAGCCTGGAGGTCGGGTGTTCGATCCCTGCATTGGCCGAGAAAGTTCATCCAGATTTTCGGCGTGGTTCCCCCTTGTCAGTGATGCAGGCCGGGGGGCTTGACAAGGACAGCTGTCTAGTCGTTCGGATGGGACGAAAAACCGAGGTCCCGTGTACACATTGGCGTGCACGTACAAGATCCCTTGACAGTTTGAATTCGATATAAGAGTAGGCCGTAGTGCCGCTGTCCGGGCAAAATTTCCCTCATAGCACACTGTATGGCGTATGCCCGTCTTCATTAGCCCAGTTCGGAGCAGAACAGTAGGACGTTAAACCCCATTTCATTTCATTTCATTTATCTTCTTTATAAAAAGGTATTTTACAATTACATATTGACAGCTGAATCACTCGCCAAAACAAAATACGTCACTGAGTCTACGGTCAATAATCAACTAAATTGCGCCGGAGCAACTTTTAGATAAGACAAATTAGATTGATATTATTTCGGCACCATAAATAATTTAAAAACTAATCGTTGATTTAATTTCCGTACATGAAATGGAACTAAACAACTCCAAATATAAGAATTCCGTATATGAATCAATTTAGAATAACAAAATACGAATTGTAACACATTGTGGTCTAAACCATGTAATAAATTATAAAATAAATCAATTAAATCAATGGAACCCGTTGTAACGTGGAGATTGCATGCTTTCTTTTAAAGTTGGGTCGTCTGAACAACTGAAGATAACACTGTCTTGTCGAAAAAGTGGCTACGTGCAATTGTATTCTCTGATCTCTTATATCACGGGGCAATCCTGTTTTAGTGAAACCAACCTGCATGAAAAGTGTAAGCAAAAAAAGAAGTTGGACTCTATTCATGATAAAATATTTATAAGATGGGAATTATATGAACTGGGGAAGAAGAAGAGTGTACCGGGACTATTGAGGTGAGTCGTTTAGTGGCTGTGTAGTGGATTATCTATTAATGAAATCGTTATAGAATAAAGTGATCTATTTTGTTGTTTGTTATTTATAAATGCGACCGCTCTAGATCGGCGATAGCCTGTTAACTGACGTGAAGAAAATATACTCATAAACACTCATATTATACTGACTGAATACTTTCTGTGTCCCTAACATTACACAATGTCGTGTGGACGACTTAAACAACGTATTTCTACATCCTGAAATTAAACTAAGTCGTGTGGACGAGTCAACAAATGCCGTGTGGACGACACCACCAACGAGTGTGGGCGACTTAACTAGATTTTTCGCGTGGACGACTTGACTGACTTTCCACACATTCGGCAAACCTCGAAGATTCTACGCATCTAATCTCGGCTGTATGACCATTTCCGACATATTTGAACTATTTTAAAGGTTCCGAATGAAAAATGACCACCCCCATGGAGATTTCTGTGGAGAGTGTATTATATCAACAAACGTCACGTTTGGCATTGGGTTTGGGGAATTACAAGGGAATTTTATCAAACCAGCAGCCTTGAGACACTATCTCTGCTCATTTAGGTATATACACTCTACAAAAGACGCAATTTGGGACTTTTTTGTAAAAGCGACACGTTTTCCTGTTTAAAGTAAACCGGCAGCCGCATCGCAAATGTATGGGCGTAGGTACATATCACTGACTGTCATACAGCCGAGATTAGATGTAGGGTAACGGAATCTGTCGAGTTTTGCCGAGTGGCTTTCCACAGAAATCGTAGCAAAGTCTGGGTGACAAAGACTAAACAACCAGCCTGTGGAATTTTTCTTCAATTCTAGTTTCGTAATAACGATTTTTTCAAAATCGTTATAAAACACGACGTTTATAGATTGTTTTACTACTCTTAAAACAGTTCTTAATCTAATTATTTCATATTCTATTAGATTTTTATTTATTTTTTTTATTTTACGAAAGTTCAACTCTGTGACTAATTCTGTATACAAACCTCAGTTTATCAAAATGGAGGCCAAAACAGAGGTTGTGGTTTATAACTCGGAGAAACCGTCGATACAGACGGCGATCTCTGCTGTTGATTTATCAAAAAAATTGCAGAAAAGCATGCTAAGGTAAGTAATACAACTAACTGTAAAATATAATGACATTATGCCCATGTCTTGAACCGTCTGCATTTTATATTTTATGTCTCGAATTCCAGTACAGACCCGACTGCGCCAGCTTCACTCTACTCTACACATCTACGTATAAGTTACCAGTAGCCTACATACATGTACATGTACTACATGGGTTGGGTTAGGGGTTGCATAATTTGTAAACTTTATATTTTACGGAATAAGGATGATACATAAAATGTGCTATTTGCCCTGTCATTAATATCTAATTCAAGCCTCTAGAGGCTAATCTCTATTTTATAATATTAAACTTTTTTATTTGCATTAGATCTACTTAATACTAGTTACAGCACACACTTCATGTACACACATCAATGTCCATACATAACAAATATAGATTATTTGAAAGTGAATAATAAAATAATAATATAATTAATACTTGAATTAACAATTTTATCGTATCAGATTTATTTTTTTTAAAAAATACCGAAAAACCGTATAACCTGATATATTATTATGTCCCAATATTGATGATAATACATTGCTATATCATTAACATCTCAAGACAAGTGACACTGTAGTGCATGGTATGAAGTCAAAATGGCAATGTGAGAGGTCACATTGGTGCAAGGACTCGTAATTGAGGAACACTTGTTTGGCAAGGTCAAGGTTAGACAGTAATTACAAAAGCTAAATACCAACATATAAACCTACTGATGTGCTTGTTTTTAGCTACGATCAGGTCCCTTTAGTTTCACTTGATAAACTTCAATTTTATTATTAATGCCTGTAACATCTTGAAAATAAGTTAATTTTATACTATTATTACATGTAGGACTTGTTAAACATACGTGCCCCAAAGAGAAACAACTTTGGTTTATCTGCAAATATTGTCAAAAATATAAATTAAATCAAGTGTTGTTTTTATTCAAATTGATGCAGACATTAATAATTATGGTGTATTATTCCTGTGCAACCCATATCGGGTTAGTACTATGATTGGCTGTTGTACAAGACGATCCGCCTTCATGGCGTCAAAGATTTCAAGTTTAAAATGCCGAAGAGTCAGGCTATTATCGCTTCGATTTAAAAAGACATGATTTGTACCTGTGTCAGGTAGGATTATATGCTTAATTGTAGTTGAATGCGGCAGAAATGTTGTGAATAACAGTAATCAATCGTTGTTTGGAAAAAAAATTGTCTGGTTTGCGAAATGAAAGCCCGATTTGATCAGCATTGGGGTTTGCCAGATGGATTTATATAGTACCATCTCATATCTCAAAATACGGAGGGTTGAGAGATGAGGTTTCTTATTATATTTACCCCTGTCACAACTGTCACTGTCTTGTAAATATCAAAAAGTAGATTTTAGAACCCTGCCAGTTACATTTAGAAATGTACATATTATCTTTATTAAACATACATACATGTACATTATGCAAGAGCTAAATCTACCTATTTCAAGTCTTTCATTAGGTCTGAAATGTTATCTAAATTATTAATTAGACATTAATTAACTTATCCAGACCATAATGCACTCTCGATGGCATTGCTAGCCTGCGATGTTTATTGGATTACGTTCCGATTGGCTGTTCGCCTTCCATTCATAATTAAATCAAAAAATGGATAATCGCGACTATGTTGTTTATCCTACCGACTTTATAGGGATGATGATCAAAGCTAGTCCCAATATTCAATCGCTAAATTCCCGGTACAGAGTGGATCAATTTGACTGAAATTTTCAGCAAATTGCCTTTACAATGTAAAGTTATGTCCCTTTATTTTCGGTAAAAATGTCCAACAAGAAAAATTTTGAAATCCCATCACTGCTTTACATTATCTAGTTTTTAACTGTTACAGTGAGAATTGCCAGCTCTTTATCTAATCTCCCATAATGTATCTTTAATATTTTACTTTAACTAACTGGTATGACATTCTATTGTTAGAAATTGAATTCATCAGTAAAAATAGCATTTTAAACATACAGGTACATTATCCAGGTCTTTCTTTAGGATTGAAATTAGTGAAGTGTTATTTAAACTACTAATTAGACACTTACATGTATTAACATGAAAAGACCATAATCGATGCCATCTTATGGATCTTAAGTATCAGTTGGTTGAGGGTGAATCTCCAGCATGATGCCTATTGACATTAGCAACAATAATTTGACATCAAGCGATGATTTTCGGCCCAAGCACCGGTACATGTATTCAAAATTTGACTTCTTAAGATAAATGTATAAATTATCACGATAATACATGTATCTTTTATTGTGATTTGATAAATTGTCACTTTTTATACGTCCACATTCATAATGTGAACGTATTATGCCGTCGCCCCTGTCTGTGTGTGTGTGTGTGTGTGTGTATGTATGTATGTGTGTGTGTGTGTGTGTGTGTGTGTGTGTGTGTGTGTGTGTGTCTGTGGTTCGCCTACAGGGCGCAATTCTTCATGGATTTTCTTCAAACTTGGTATACTTATTCCTTATACCCCAAGGAAGATCCCTATTGTTTTTGGTGCATGCCCGACCCCCCGGGGCAGAGCCACGCCCATTTCTAGTATTTGTTTGTTTGTCGTCTACAGGCCACATTTCTTAACTAATAATCTTGAAACTTTGCATACACATTCTTTGTACCCTAAGGAACATCCCTATCGTTTGGGGTGCATGCCCAACCCCCAGGGGCAGAGCCACGCCCATTTTCTTTTCGTGTGTCTTTGTGTCGCCTACAGGGCGCAATTCTTACTGGATTTTCTTCAAACTTGGTATACTTATTCCTTATACCCCAAGGAAGATCCCTATTGTTTTTGGTGCATGCCCGACCCCCAGGGGCAGAGCCACGCCCATTTCTAGTTATTCTTTAAGTGGCATTTAGCGATCAGGGAACAAATTAACAGAACACAGTTTTTATGGGATACAATCACTAGTTTATTCTAAAAGCACGACGTTTCCACAAGTATTCTCTTATCGTTATCAATCAAGCAAAAAAAAACAAAAAAAAAACGTCATGCTTTTAGAATAAAGACATCGATTGTTTTAAAATAAAAATTGTGTTCTGTTAATGTGAACGAAATGTTATACTGATAGCAGTCCTACAACCCAGTTTTATTTCACAGACCCTCAATGCAAACTGGACCATATCAAACAAAACAGGAATGTGGACGTATATTGCTGCGTTAGCGATGCTCTTGTTTTTTTTTCCCATTATACAGGTACATGTACATGTATATCGCTCAACCCTAAAAAAACATACTTGTAGCTATTGTATGAAGAACAAGCCTATCTTCTTATAGTTTTATAGGCCTACAACTTTTTCATAATAACACAACTTTATGGATTTACTACTTCTTTGTTTATTACATGCAACATTTCAATACTCTTACTGGTACATTGTATCTTTATCAAGCAATAATCAATAATGAATAAATTTTTGTTTAAAATTTTAGTACCGGTATTGAGAATCATATCAAGTGTAATTTATATTCAATGATTTTGTTCTCATGTACCTGACTGTACAAGAATTTCCCTTGTGTAATAATTGTCATGTTTATTTTTCTTATTGTTAGATTATTTTAGAGTAGAAGGTGTGCAATCATTTATTAATTCATTTTTCTAAAGATAGGCCTAAAGTCTGGATAATGTTGCTACTCATAGATAAACTGTGGTCAATGATCCGTGAAGAATCTGCCCTGGTTTACTTTATTGATTATTAATAGATATACTATTCAATAAATTCCAAAAGGGACATGAAATAAATAAAAAAATAGGTGAAGAATATCTGTTGTCAATAGAATACCCAGAATAAATAGATATGTTGATAGATGTAGTAAAAAGTATAGTTATTATTCAAATTTCTATATGATATTCTCTTTGTGTGAATATTTTATTTTAAATATATTCATGAGTAACTTGATCACTTGTTCTATGGAGAAAAAATATGTATAATGTAGACTACACGTAGGACTATGCTTTGGTACCATACTTAAAGATACATTATGTAAGACAAGAGCTGAATTTTTTCTGGCTTCACATGTTATAAGAATTATTATTTAAACATTTATTGTCATGACAAGCCCAATATCAACTCTCTAGCTCTGATTTTAAAGAAAAATGTGGGTTAGAATTAGAAATGAAATGAAATGGGGTTTAACGTCCTACTGTTCTGCTCCTATACTGGGCTAATGAAGACGGGCATACGCCATACAGTGTGCTATGAGGGAAATTTTGCCCGGACAGCGGCACTATCGCCTACTCTTATATCGATTTCCAACTGCCAAGGGATCTTTTACGTGCATTCCAATGTATACACGGGACCTCGGTTTTTCGTCTCATCCGAAGGACTAGACAGCTGTCCTTGTTCGGCCCTCCGTTCTGCACCGCTGACAAGGGGAAACCACGTCGGTTAGAATTAGAGTGTCACGGCCGTTTAGATGTTGAACAAGGAACTAGATAATCCAATCTGATTAAAACACATACAGATTACTTAAAGATTACATACAGATCCTATTTCGTTTCCTTTTATATATTTCAAAATTTAGTTTTACTTATCTTTACTATACTAGGATCTGGAAGAGTTGTTATAACCTGCATTCTGGATGATCTCGAGGAATTAGCTAATGAAACGGTCTGTCACGGCGAGTTTTTGGCGTGAGGTGCATAGAACTGTGGGTAACATACTAGAAACATAAGTGCTGATTGTTACTCAAATGTCTGACATCATGGAGTCAAAAGCCATTCGTATGACCTCTGACACGACCTTCCACTAGTATAACTGATCAGATCTTCATGATGTAGTAGAGGCCATCGAAAGTATAAAAAAAAGAAACAAATTATAGATCTGTATTTTAATTAGATTGGTGTTTTGCCATAAGTATGTGTTATGGTAGATTACAATTGTTACACTTTCGCTACAGTTTATACTATATAGTCTACGTCTACCTACATGTATATTCTGCCACAACCATGTTATGCAGCAGATCCTAGAAAATATAATTGTTAATTTGGGTTTTTTTTGGCTCAACTCCTCTGGTACATATACATTTGTAGGCTGCCCCTCACAGCCAGAAAGCCAGAATTGGAATAAAAAAAGTTTAACTTAAATGAATGTTCTCAATTGACAATCTTAAAGGGGTTTTAAAACAGGTCCAGTGCATATGCACAGTCAGTCAGCAGCCCTATAGCTTTTATTCACCTACAGTACATGTATAGTCGAGCTCATGATATTCTCTATGCATCAACCAATACAGCTCCAAAAACATCTAATATTAATGATTCTGAATTACACTTACATTTTGATTGCTAATTTTGGAAAATTACATCAGGTATATTTTTCTCTGCCATTCTTGCTGTAATAGTTAAAAAAATAAATAATACAAAATGAATATATTGAAAATTTATTTTGAGCAATTAAGCTGTCAATGGTTTTAGTTTTGACAAGATGTGTACAATTGATCGTAACCACCGAACTGGACATTGGAGCCTTAGTCTCGCTTCTCCATTTTAAAATTAAATCTTTAAATGGTCAAACCGTTCTACTCTACTTAAAATCAGAACCAAGCGATGGCATCAAGAGTTGATTAATAGTCTTGTCATGTTAATAAATGTCTAATAAATGATTTATATAAAATTTAAGGCCCAAAGACGGCCTGCAATGGGCAGATTAGCTCTTATACATGTATAATGCCTATTTAATAAATTTTCCAGGCCATACCCATTGCAGAGATTTAAAAGGATTTGAACGACCGCAAGATTTAAAAAATGAACTATAAAATGAACAAGCAAGGCTTAGTCTCGATTGTCAAGTACCATTGCTACGATAATAACACCCCTCCCCCCAAATACATGTAACATGACTATTTCTTCAGTGATGACAGATGAGCGTGACTAAAGCAGGACACACACTGATTCGAATTGGAAACAGGAACCACATACTACCGATCAAAAAACTATGTGAAACAAATAACGCCACCCCCATGCAATAAAATCAAAGAAGAATCACAACATGTTCAAAATGATGGCGTTGTTGTATGGTTTTTTTTAACATATTTTTAGGTTGAAGGGAGAATTTATTGTTTGTTTATATATTTTTAGTTTGAAGGGAGAGTTCATTGGTGGTGTATATATTGTTAGGTTGAAGGGAGGGTTTATTGTTTGTTTATTACATGCAGGTTGAAATGAGAGTTTATTGTTTATATATATTTTCAGGTTGAAGGGAGAGTTTATTGTTTGTTTATATATTTTCAGGTTGAAGGGAGAGTTTATGTCTGAAGATGGTAAAGGTGTAGCGTATCCCAAATTAAAGACTAGTCCATTATTTAAAGAATATAAAGAAGATGCCTGTTTATTACAAACAATAGATTTAAACACTTTATCAGAAGATGAAAAAATACCATTTTTTATAAGTATCCTTTTAAAAAACTTTTACTCACATCATTTGATTGGATCATACATTTGTCGTTTATTGTGTATATTGAGTCGTGTGTTTGGGTTTGTCTTATGTTTATGTGTGGTGCACTATAATTTGATGAGGTGGGGTGGGGTGGTAGGGGATCTGATGGTCTAATTTGTACACTTTAGATTGTAAGGTCTGTCATTGAGTCAAGCAGTATGGTTTCAGTTCCCCGCTTGTTTGTGACAAGGACTAGGGTTGCCTGTCCAACTCCAGATCCTGCAGTTTCCTCCCAAAACCTACCGGTAAGACCCATATGCGCAAGCTTATTATTGAAGTATAATTGAACCATGTGTTAGGCCTGAAATGACCTAGTTTGTGTTGAGTGGATGGTAAATGCCATTTCTATCTCTCTGATTGAAATGTCTGTGTATAGTTTTATGTCTTGTCCGTGTGATTGTTTATGTGTTGTGCAGACTGGAAGTCGCGTGTTTGATCCCAGAAGTGGTGCAGACTGGAGGGCCTGACAAGGACAACCGTCTAGTCGTTTCGATTAGATGAAAAACCGAGTCCCGTGTACACAGTGGCGTGCACGTAAAAGATCCCTTGGCAGTTAGAATCCGAGATAGGAGAAGGCCATAGTTGGAGCCTAACAGGATAATGTTAAACCCCTTTTCATTTCAGCCTAGAAAGTTCATCAGGATTTTCCGACGTGGTTTCCTCTTGGTGCAGAACGGAGGGCCTGACAAGGACAGCTGTCTTGTCCTTCAGATGAGACGGAAAAACGACGTTCTGTGTATACATAGGAATGCACGAAAAAGATCCTTTGGCAGTTGGAATTCTATATAAGAGTAGGCGATAGTGCCACTGCCAGGGCAAAATTTCCCTCATAGCATACTGTATGGCATATGCCCGTCTTCATTAGCCCAGTATAGGAGCAGAACAGTAGGAAGTTAAACCACATTTCATTTCATTTTATTTCATTTTATTTCCTTCTTCACATTCTAAGAATAGAGTCATTAACTCAGTTGGAGCAGATTGATTTCCTTCTTCTTATTCTAAGAATAGAGTGAAATAGATGGCTTCGATCTGATGAACATGTGTATATAGCGTAATAATCTCTATACAGCAGTTTGTTGATGTTATCTGTCAATTGGTGCAGAGAAGAATACTGATTGATTGATTTGATAAACAAATCTTGATATTGATCTCTGATGTAGATATAAACTAGGTATGGTAATATAAGATTAGTAATTATAAACAGCAACTGCACTCATTAAAACACAGAATATACAATACGTTATTACAAATCACACACTCAGATATCAGAATAAATGGTGTTTTTTTGTTTTACGTACAGCGTAAAGGTTATGGATGGATCGCACTAATTACCTTTTACCAATCAGCCATTAAGTCATTAAATATTGATAGAAATAATAAGTCTATTTTCTTATTGGTTTGTCTGATGGTAGCCATGCTTATTCTATATGTTCAGTGTATTTTACTATGTAGGAGTAAGGATGTGGGGTGGGATGGTAACTTGTTATAGAGGGCACTTATTTACAAATTTATATGCTTTGATACCGACCAGTGAAATCTTGTTTAAATGTCGTGTGTAGGCCAATATAAAATAGTCATTATACCTTTGTGCTGTTATTTTATGTTCACAGATTACACTGTAAATTGGGTATCATTTAATCTTGTGTATTTAGCCCTCTGAAATCTGGTCAAATATACACAACCTGATTGATTATTGATGTGTAATGTTTAACAGTCGTTGGGAAGTGAAATACTTGTAAATTGGATAGCCATTATCGAAATTGAACAGTCAGCTTTAAGCCGCGTTTACACAATACAAAAAATCCATACAACTGTCAGATGCAACATATTGGACGTCCGTTTACACAATATAATAGTTTTATCCGTTGTATGGCCACATTTGTTCCTTTTTAGTAATTAAATAAAATGGTAGCAATAGACCTCAAGGCGACCCCTCTCATCCCCGTCATCGTTTACTTTTGACGCCGCAGGTTCCAGAAAGTCCAAGCTTCCGATACACAGTTATTAGATTTTCTAATTCAGTCGTGGATAGGTTTAGATCCATTTTAGAGGAAGTCAAAATACATGTCCTCGAAGCGACAGAAGGCGACATTATTTTTATCCTTGTTAGCGAATGTTATTTTCTTTCAATGCTTAATGAATCAAACTATGAAAGATGGACTTCTGTTTTGTCTCCTTACTGATCAATACGCGTTGAATTCGTGTGTCAACAAATTGGTGAATACATGTAGTATCTTAATTGTTGGCCACTTCTGGTCTAATTGTTAAAATAGTGTTAGTTGATGTCTGTACCATGTGTTACATGTGTAATGCACATCGTGTGTACATGTAGTTGATGTATGTGTCATGTGTACCTACATGTATGTATTTTATGCTCTCTATAAATGCATATTAACTTAAACCTGTAGAAAGGATCGTTCAAGTAGCAATAAATCATGAGGAGATAGATAAGAGAATCTGTTTATTAACTATATAACATTAAAGATATAATATTTCGATATTAATATGTACCATGTACCAGCACCACTCTACAAAGTCGACATACAGTTATAAAACTTCATTTCTTGTGCAAGTCTTCAAATTATATGTGCTTTTGTCAAGGGGGTTGGGTGGTAAATGGTTTAATGCATGCATGTTAGATCATTAATTAAAGTGGCAAGGTATCGATTTACCATTTGTACAATCTTGAAATAAAATTGACGAATGTTAGTCCTGAAATGGCTTAGTTTGTGTAGAGTGGATGCTACACCCAATGTTAACCTACATCCATACACGTACATGTACCTACATGTATTTGTCTATGGGTTTTTTTTATACGCCCACAATTAATTTTGAGTGTATCTTTTTTCCCTGAATATGAGAAAGATGAAACGTTGATAGAATTTATTCAACCATAACTTTATACAAGATATTTATAACGCTCTGACTATACATAGTCTAGCTGAACAGAAGGAATTACCAGATTCAGTTTTAAAAATGTATCAGTTCTGGAGGACGGCAGCGTATAATATTGGTGGCCATGTTTATACGTTAGATGACATTGAACATGGTATACTACGAGGTAAGTAGAGATATAATTTGGTAATGATTATAGCTGACCTGGGAATATTCATTTTAAATGTATGACAAAATGTCAGGCGCTGTTTGTTTAACCTGTCATTTTGAATTTTTGTGTCGGCCATGTAATATGAATTTATAAAAACCCTGAATAAAGACAAACCAGTACCAAACACAATAAAAGGCATCAGAGGCATTGTGCCAAGAATTTGTGTCTGACATTATCTGTAAAGTTAGCAGAAAATATAGTAAATGATTTATGGACTATAAATGTTTCACGACTATAAAACATTGTAGAATGGATAAACCTTTTAACAAAATTACAAAATCTGTCTTCTACGTGTTTTTGTTTTTTCAATAGATTTTCATGTACGTAGTTGATCTTAAACACGAAGTGACTGTAATTTCTCCTTAATATTTGAGTATGTCAGTAGGAAAATGACTTGTTTCTGTTAACTACTTGTATATGATAAAATCTTTAGGAGACATATTTTTATACTGCATCCACTTGGCTCAATTCGTCCAAAAATTTCAACAGAGAACTGGAAATCTCTGCCCCGGGGGTCATGCGTTTAGTTATTATTGCAAATATGTGATTGAAGTACATGTATTGACGGGTAATTATAATCTTTCCTATACATTATTCTATGTATTACAGGTAATCATTATATTCTATTACAGGTAATCATTATATTTATTACAGGTAATCATTATATTCTATTACAGGTAATCATTATGTTCTATTACAGGTAATCATTATATTTATCACAGGTAATCATTATATTTATCCCAGGTAATCATTATATTTATTACAGGTAATCGTTCTCATCCTGCCAGTAATCAACCACTATTCAGTGAGAAAGATCCCAGATTAAAATTTGCTGTGAAGAAAGTTGATCCTAGAATCCATTTTGCCCTAGTCTGTGGAGCCAAGGTAAGAATTCAGTATTTACTACTCTTTTAGATGAGTCACATTTATTGTGATAATAATTTGTGAAATGGGGTTTACCATCTTACTGTTCTACACCAACAGGTGTGCTGTGATGGAAATTTTGATCTGACTGTGGCATTACGATCTACTTTATTTTTCATCACATATGAATGACTAGACCCTTTACTTGCCAGGGTCTCTGTTCTGCACTTGACTAGGGTCATTGGGGGTTGGACAGCTGAATGGTTGTATCACAATGTCTGTCATTGTCAACTGGCGTGGTTTCGATTTCCCTATTGTATGTAACAAGGGGTAGGGTCGCCTGGCCAACCTTGTGGGTTTTCTCCGGGTCCTCCGGTTCTCTCCCAATGCTAAAGATCCCTACGCACAAACAAATTATTCAGATAAAATTAAACCATATGTTAGTCTCTCTCTCTCGTACCAGACTTAGTATTTTTTTCAACCAACACTGGGATCGATTTCAGGACCTCTTGAGTTATTGAACCAGGCCTTAATCTCACTAAACCACAGTATGTGTGGTTTGTGAGAAGTATTGTTTACAAAATGTCTACTGCTACACCATAGAGTACATCATGAAAATATGTTAGTCCCAAAATGATCTAGTTGTGTTCCGTGGATGTTAAACCCCATTACTCTGACACAAAACTCAATCATGCCTTCTTAACACTGTGATGAATACAAATTTATGTGAGGAGTCTGATTTTGTGGTTACAAATTTTGTATTTCTTGTGTTCCAGTCATGTCCAGCTATAAATGTGTACTCCCCAGCGAATAAAGACCATGCATTAGATGAGGCCACGAGAAATTTTTGTCGTCAAGAGGTCTCCATGTTTACTGAATCAGATGAAATTTGGTTGTCAAAGATATTTCAGTGGTATCGTCAAGATTTTGGTGAAACAGACACAGATGTGATTCGGTAAGTCATTTGTTTTCATCTGTTTAAAAGAGCATCCAACTTCAACAGTGGCTGATCCAGAGGGATGTGGGGGGGCGGGGGGGTCAACCCCACTGCTCATCTACTTAAAATAAAATTATGAGAAAAGTGTCACGGTCATGTGCTTTATCCTTTATCATCAGATGGTGGGATGGGATGGGCATTCAAAGCACGGAATAATGGTATTGTCATATGTGTTATCACAATTACTGCTTTTGCATCAATGAAATTGAATCACAATGTGGTCCTATTAATTCATAATACAAACTATGCCTATGCAATTTTAAAACGATGATGGCTTCTTGCATTGTCAAATGTCCTTAACAGGAACCTGACAAACCCCCTCCTACAAAAATTCTAGGATCCGCCCCTGTTCAAGCTGTATGAAAAAATGTCTGACCTCTAGGGGTTCAGTGATTTATAGTTTTGAAGCAAAATTTTGCTAAGATGTATAATATGACTATTATAGTATTTATGAAAAAATTGGATTAACTCTTTGATTTAGTCATGAAAATTACAATGATAGTAACAACTAAGAATTATCCCAGCTCCAAACATTTCTGTTCCGAAATCCCTTGTGAAAAACATAATTAGTGATTAGACCTCACCAGTTTGATTTCTTTTCTTTGTGGGCTTTATAAATAAATAGATACATGTTTGAATCTCATAAAAATTTGAAAAATCTTAGAAATTAAAGACAGCACAACCAAGGACTTTTGGTTTTTTATTTTTAGATAAGTCTTTTTCATGAAGAAATAAGAACAAGTCTTCTTACATTTTTTTATCAAAGAACCGAAAATCAAATGGGTTTGACCTCACTCTGGAACTTGCATCACATTAGAATTTTTGTGCTTATACATTATAATAATTATGGTCTTATACTGAAGCCATTCATATGCTTCCTTATGTTAGGAGCGGGGTGAGTTGGCTGAATGGGTTAACACCTGTGATTTAGCTCATAAGGTCTGTCACTGAGTCAGTTAGTGTGGTTTTGATTCCCTGATTATATTTGACAAGGAGTAGGGTTGCCTGACAAACCTCATTGGTTTTCTCCCGGTCTTCCGGTTTTCTTCCACTGCTGAAAACCTCTGAAATGACCTAGTTTGTGTCATATGGACCTTAAACCCATCTCTCTCTCTCTCTCTCTCTCTCTCTCTCTCTCTCTCTTTGACCATGCTCGATTGACAGTCCGGAACATACAGAATTCTAATATAGGTGCGTGGAATTCAGTCCTGTCACATTCCTGTCAACTCTTACAACGGAGGTGGTGTGAGTAGAATCGTGACATAATTAAACACAACAAATAAGTTTCGGCTGTCGCAGTTAGTCGATGTATTTTCTAATGCAGACAACACATGCATTGTAGTCCGAAATCCAACTTTTAACTCGATTATCACTATTTTTGGGATTTAGAGAATTCAATTCCAAACGTTCGACTGTGTGTTCCTTTTGTGTTATTATTGGTTTTTAACTATTTAAATATTTTCTTTCAGATGGACAATACCATATTTAGACGCAAATCAACAAGACAGAGCTAATCTTCTGCTCTTAAAGTTAGAAAAAATAGGTCAAGTTGACATCAAATATAATGAATACGATTGGTCATTGAATAAATCATGATACAAGCCAGATGATTGGTTGATTTTAAATATTGTAACCGCTACATAGTCGTTTAAGCGTAACAGCATGTATTTGGTAATTGACTCCGTTCATGCATTTATAAATTATATAATTTACTATTAATTTCATATTAATTTCATTATAATTATTATCCACATGTAATATTTAAACATTTTATTGAAAGATATGTATCTTTGACAGCCAAGATCTTAAATATGTAACCCATCGTTTAAAAACAACCTGAAACTACTGGTAAAACTGTCTTTGTGGCCAAAAATATGTGGATCAAATGTGATACTTCCAAGACATCCATAAATTATTTTAAAGGGCATATAGCTCTGTTCCTTGAAACCTAGTGATGCAGGACAGAGGACCTGATTAGGACAACTGTCCAGTCATCCGGATGGAATTAAAAAAAACATGGTCCCGTGTACCTAAAAGAGCCGTTGGCAATTGGAATTCGATAGAAGAGTAGGCCGTAGCGCTGCTGTCTGGGCAAAATTACCCTCACAGCACACTATATATCGCATATGCCCTTTTTGATTAGCCCAGTTGGAGCAGAACAGTAGGACGTTAAACCCCATTTTATTTCTCTGAAACCTTAAATTTTGAATATTATAGATAATATTGGATTAGAGCTACATGCCCTTTAAGTTACTGGTTTCGAATCCCCGGTTGTACGTGTCAAGGAGTAGGGTCGCCTGTCCAACCTCATGGGTTTTCTCCAGGTCCTCCGGTTTCCTCCCACTGCTAAAGACCCCTACGCGCAAGCGAATTATGTAAATAAAATTAAACCATATGTTAGTCCCGAAATGACCTAGTTTGTGTCGAGTGGATGTTAAACCCCATTTCTCTCTCTCTCTCTCTCCCTTTAAGTTACTCTTGCCGTGAGACGATGAATGCTTTAAAATTGTTTCTGATTCTATGAATGTTTACGCATTCTAGGAATCGTGAATTATTACTTAAAGATGCATTATGTACATGTAGGAATTTGATAAAGAGCTGACCCTAGTCACAATTATCTCGGTCAAATTACTTTATTCTGAGTGAAGTTATGACTGTTTGAAACTTTGTCAAAAATAGCGTACTCTCGATTGTTATTTCTACGATAATAAACAAAGTCTTGGTTTTCCATTTTTTTCTCTAACCAATTAAATGGCACCGGTGGTCTAATCCAATGTTCTAGAGAGTTGATTATAGGCTTGTCATGTGAATAAATGTCTAATTAATAATTAATATAAGAGACCTTCAGCATGTACATAATACGTCTTTAAAGCTACAATTTCATATTTTTAAGTTATATTTTTAAAATTTATTAAAATAAAGCCTTAAAATAGATGGTATCCATACACAGTCCTACCGTGTTAAAGAATAATCCTATTAATCCTATAATTCACTATTGCCAGCTGAGAAATTGGCAAAAATATCATTTTCAACTTCAAATTCAAACATTTGAACATAGCTATTCCATGGAGGGAATAGGAAAACAAGGGAGGTAATTGTGTTATTTCCTATGTCAATGATTTTTAAGGGTGGGAAATAATGCCCATGATTTTATAATAGTGAGTTGATAACCTATTGATCAAAAGACATAGAAATAATTATGAAAATATGAAATTCTCGCTTTAAGTGGATTTGAGTCTGGAAACGACTTAGTTGTGTTGAGTGTTATCTTTTTCACTTGCATATTTTTATACACCCACATTGAAATGTGATCGTATATTGACGTCACCGCCATCCGTCGGTCCGGCATCCACAAGCAAGGCTAAAAGAAATCTTGTGGCCACTGTACAGGGTAAAGATACTATCTGATAGATTTTAAATTTATACACAGTGTTTACGATCTTAAGGCGAGGAAACCTATTGATTTTCAACAATTTCCGATAATTACTGCCAGAGTTATGGCCCTTGAATACTTGAGAAATCTTGTGGATGCGCAAGAGGCTAAAGGTAATATAATTTTATACACAGTGTTTAAGGTCATGAGACAAAATATTGTGATGTAATGGTTTTCATTACTGACAAAAAACCCCCTTGTTGACTGTCTGGACAACTTAGCTGCTGTGGGTGTATGATTCGTTGCTTGGCAACCTATCTTTTCCTCAAACCTCAACTGCACGATATAGAAGTATGTAGAACTATAAGTACATAAAAGACTGAGTTAGAATATATTCAGAGTTTTAGACTGTGCTATGTGAAACTTTTCTATGCAAATTATTTCTGTAGTAGTTGATATAAGCTGTAAATATTTTTATAATATGTTTTTAGCTAGACAGTGTCCTGATATCATTTAATAACCATACTTCAATCTGATTGTATTTATTATAATCCATCCTTCCAGTTCAGTGATAAAATATTGGATATGTGGACCACAGCTGATTACATGTTTCTAGCACATATTTAATCTGATTGTTAAATGTGGCTATATGTTGCATGTGCTGTAATCCATTCATCCTATGAAAGACCAGTTCAGTGTTAAAATACTGGATGGGTAGGCCACAGTTGACTCAGCTGGGTTACATGTTTCTAGCTGGCATCCCAATATCAATGCCATCTGCACATATTTGATAACTGATTGGTAAATATAGTTATATAGTGTATATGTATTTCATTCTATTAAAGGCCAGTTCAGTGATAAAAATATTTTATGAGAAACCACAAGTCATTCAGCTTGTTATGTTTTAAGTTGAGTACTTTGTGAAAATTCTGTATGATTGTGTTGTATTGCCTTTCTCTGTTCTTCCATAAATACCGCAACATTTAACACACATTAGAGAAGTTACTATTTTTAAATTATTTTCATATTGTTGTATATAAAATCAATCAAAGTAGTTTTCGATCTTGACATTCGATTGACATTTACACCAGAATCAGTGACTATATCATGGAGAAATTAATTGATATTGACAAGATTTGAAGCAATTATTAATAGAGAGAGGCACTCTGCAGATTCCCAGTGCAAGTTTTACCTCATTATTACTTCTGTTTGATTTTATTTTATAACTAATGTCCATTCATACTTCTGTTTAATTGAATATTATAGTATTTAAAGTGTTATATTTTAATGAGCACATAAGTCGTGCACTACAATAATGTACAATATTGATAATAATATTCATATAATTATAAGGATGTGTTTTTCTTGTGAGTGGCCCTTTTCTCAATTTATTCTGCATAAATTAGATTTAGTAAAATAGTTATTAACAGTGAATGTGTTTGTTAGAGGAATGACTGTTGACGAGATGAAGTATGTTATAGTGACTAGGGCTTCATTAAACTACTGTTGTAGTGGTCTGCATCCACGTTATTGATACTGGGTGTGACTGATACACCAGCACTCCATTGTCACTAGGGCTTTATTAAACTACTGTTGTAGTGGTCTTCATCCACGTTATTGATACTGGGTGTGACTGCTACAGCAGTACTCCATTGTCACTAGGGCTTTATTAAACTACTGTTGTAGTGGTCTGCATCCACGTTATTGATACTGGGTGTGACTGCTACAGCAGTACTCCATTGTCACTAGGGCTTTATTAAACTACTGTTGTAGTGGTCTGCATCCAAGTTATTGGTATAATGTAGACTAGGTGAAGGGAACCATGACACTTAACTTATGGTATATCCATAAAGGTATTTGCTTGCACGGGTATTGATTCATTAATTCACTTGTTTAGAGAAGTCAATAGCAATGAGAGGAACCTGGAGAAACCCACAAGGTTAGGCAGGTGACCCTTCTCCATTGTCACGTACAAGCATAGAATATTTATACATGTATTTGCTTGTGCACATATTGATCGGATAATTTAGTTATGTGCAGGGGTCTTCAGTAGAACCTGGAGAAAGCTTACTAGGTTAGGCGTACAAGCAATAATTCTCCTTATTACCTAAAAACGTGGACGTATAGTTAGGCACTAGTGTAATTACTTTAATAAAAATAAAAATACAGCTGGTTCGTTGTTTTTATGACAAATGTTAATTCTAATCTTGTTAGCATCCATTTATATTATTATCGCAAGTGGCTTATACTGTTTTTGTTAAAAATTGTCTGTGATCTGTTGCCATTCCTTGGATATTTTATACAAAAGGACATTTTGATGTCTGTTCAACACTGCTCAACATAGTTTTTACAGTGTTTCCCAGTTATAGAAAATCATGTTAAAGGAGAACTCCATATCCAGTGTGCTAATTTATTAAAGAGGTAACTATCTGCATAAAATAGAAAAAAACTGCAACAGATGGAGTTGTCCTTTAAAATAAGATTATTATTAAGTTTAATAGTGCTGAAGTTTTTATATGTTTTTCACTTTATGAAATAATGTTTTATGGTGTTTTTGTTTTGAAATCGGCATTTGAAATGCATCCAACAAGCGTTTTCCTTCGTTAGATTTTAAAGGGGCATTACCACCATAACCATAAAAATAAATGTAATTTTGAATATGGTATTCAGTAAAACACATGGAGGAGTGTTCATTAAACTACTAAAACAATTGTGTAAAATTTGTAAAAAGGAAATTAAAACGCCTGTATCTCAGCAATCGGAAATTAAAACATCTGTATCTCCGCAATGGCTTGACAAGATCTGTCTCATACATGTATGTTGCATACAATATAATTTGTAATTTATATCGCGGATGTAACTTTATTGTCAAACCACTTCAAATTGTAGTGATGCCTCTTTAAACTTGGTGAGATGTAGATCTTTGATTAATGTATTTTATAAAATTTCTCAATTCTATTTCTAATTGAGGAAAGGAAGTTATTGTACATACATGTACACAGCCAGGTTTAATGAAGTGATTTGTTGAATGATAAAGTTGATTGAATGAATAAAACAAATTAGGTTATATATTGCTATGGTTATCAATCTTTAAAATAATATACATTACCATGGTTACCACCAGTCTTTGTTATATATTGCTATGGTTACCAACCTTTATAATGTTATATATTGCTGTGGTTACCAGACTCTATAATGTTATATATTGCCTTGGTTATCAATCTTTTTAACACTCGAATTGCTTTAATCATCCATTAAATAAAACATTGTGTTTCTGACATTTGTTGTCTTTAACTATCACCTGTAACAGATTCTGTGAAATATCCTCTGTTGTCAATGCCATAAAAAGACCTGTGTTCCTCATCCACAGCTTTGACACTTGCTGAGGCCATGTGATGCTTGTTTGCTAACCAGGGGGTCCTGTGGACATTTTAAATGTTTCTTGATGTTGGAATTTGACTCAAGAGTAAGTCGCGGTCTGGGCAAAATTTCCCTCATCGAATATTGCTTGATGTATGCCTGGGCTAAACAATACTTTGTTAAAAACCATTTCAGTTTTAAGTACATTTTTAACAGGGTGACGTCATTAAAACATACGTAAGGGAGATAACCAGTCTGTGCTTTCTGGAGGCAGACCACCGTTATATTTCCCTATCTCGATGCCCAGTTCTATTTATAGCAATTCTCTCTCCTGTCTCTTTTCTCCTCTTTTGCATGCCCATTTTTGTTGATTTTTTGGTCTATAATTGACGAAGAGGGTTTGAATTAACATTTACCGCCAGGTTTTGGTAAATATTCATGATTTGGAGGCGGAAGGATAACGGGGTTATCAGGTTGGCTACGGTGATATGTACGGCAACTAGTTACATGTTTTTAGTATGCTTCTGCAAGTTTGTGTATCTCCAAATTTTGGTGGTCAACTTCATACAAATTTTAGTGCAAAGACATGACCATTTGTTCCTCTGTCTGTAGTGAAAAGCATTCAGCCAAACGAAAATTTGAAAATTATCCACCCTTTTCCACGTTCTCACTACGTGCTGGTTATCTCTGTTACAGCCACCTCACCTCCTGGAGGTTCCGTGTTCGATCCCTGCTTTGACCGAGAAAGTTCATCGGGATTTTCTGGCGTGGTTCTTCCTTGTCAGTGGTGCAGAACCGAGGGCCTTACAAGGGACAATGTATAGCCGTTCGCATGGAACGAGCAGCCGCGGTACCGTGCACACATTGTCCAGGCCAAATTTCCCTCATAGTACACTGTATGGCATATGTCCGTCTTCAGTAGCCATGTCGGGGGGTTGGATGGCTGAATGGTTAGCACGTGCGCGCTGTATCATAAAGTCTGTCATTGAGTCAACTGGCGAGGTTTCGAATCCTTGTACGTGACAAGGACAAGAAATAGGGTTGCCTGTCCAATCTCGTGGGCTTTCTCCGGGTCTTCCGGTTTCCCCCAACTGCTAAAGACCCCTACGCGCAAGAAAATTATGGAAATAAAATTGAACCATATGTTAGTCTCGAAATGACTTAGTTTATGTCGAGTGGACGTTAAACCCCATTTCTTTCTCTCTCTCAGTAGCCATGTCGGTACAGAACAGTAGGACGTTAACCGCCATTTTATTTCTACTTAGCTGTGTATAATGTAGTTCAGCTCTGAACGTAGGTCTCATTACACTCGTCCTGTACGTTCAGGAATCGTCCTATTGAATCCTTGTCGAAAAAAATTCACTTCCCAATAAATTTTACTGGGCAACTTTTTACTGCTAAACGGTCGTGTGTCACTCCCTGTGAACGCCTGAACAATGTAAATGAACACCTTAGTGAGAAAATAAGACTTTGTTTACCTCGGTAGAACCAGTATGAGCGACACAACACGTCGCACACTGTTTAATAAAATTGATACGAAAAAAGTCAATTTAAAGGAAAAGAAGTGATGTCTCCGGTCTAAGTAGACATAAACATCATTATTAAATATATAACCATAATAAACACCATAATTACCTTAAATAGCATTCACCTAAAACAATATAGGGAACACCCTTAGGGTATACAGAATAGGTATGCAAAGTTTCGAAAGGGTCTAACAAGAATTGCGGCATGTAGGCAACACACAAACAGACACACAAATTGGGCGGGATTCTCTGCCAGGGGGTCTAGCGTGCACAAAAATAATGGAGATCATCCTTAGGGTATACGGAATAAGTATGAAAAGTATTCAAAACGATCCTTTAAGAATTGCGGCCTGTAGGCGACACACAAACAGAAAATGGGCTTGGCTGTACCCCTGGGGGTTGGCATGCAACACTAAGGAATAAGTATGCCACACTAAGGAATAAGTATGCAAAGTTTCAAGATGGTCCGTTAAGATATGCGGCCTGAAAACGACAACCAAACATTAAAAAATTGGGCGTGGCTCTACCCCTGGGTGTCGGGCATGCATTAATTAGCCTGTAGACGAGTAACAGGGATCATCCTTAGGCTATAAAGAATACGTATGCAAAGTTTCAAGGCAATCCATTAAGAATTGCAGAGGCGACGGCAATAAACGTCAACATTATGAATGTAGACGTATAAAAATAAAATGACAAAATATTGTACAGCAAACGTAAACAAACACTTAAAGAATTTTTGAATAACGAGTTTAATCAACATGAGAATACACTAGTTAGTACCAACGGTAAACAATATATTGAAAACATTTTGAATTGTATTGAGGAGGTGAAAACTAAATTGAACAATGAGAAGGAAACTACGTGCTCAAATGAGAGAGAGAGAAAGAGAGAGAGAGAGAGATAGAGAGATCATTTAGGGTCTAACATATGGTTTAATTTTATTTCAATAATTCGCTTGCGCGTAGGGGTCTTTAGCAGTGGAAGGAAATGGGAGGACCCGGAGAAAACCCACGAGGTTGGTGTTTAAATAGCATTTAGTAATTAAACACATTAATAGTGCACGTGTTGCAGGAAAAAAAAACGTAGAAAAAACTTGACGTAATGACAGGCCTTATGATACAGCGCCCAAGAAGAAGCAAATACAAAATGTTTCCTCGGAATAGAAACAAGAAAGAAAATAAACACTGTTATTCAACAACTGACTTATGACAATAACGAAATGATTTCCACCTGTAATAAAAATACAGTTTGGAATTTATAAATTGTATGAAAAACTGTATTCACAAACCAGTAAATCAATACAAACACAAAATATTTTAGTAATGAATAATAATAAACACCCAGTAAATGATATATTTGAACACATGTTTGAATGTCAAACTGCTCTCAAATCATTCAAACACGACAAACCGCCAGGTAATAACAGGCTTAATGTTGGATTTTACAGAAAGCACTGGTCAATGGTAAGGATCAATGTACCAAATTCTTGACTTCGAAGATGGAAAATTACCTATTCTTGGTAATAAAACTAATTCCAAAATCCGTAAAAAAATAAAACTCAACCGACTAATTGGAGACCAATTAGCTTAATTAATGCAGACGTGAAAATCTTAATGAAATCCATGATATCCATAAGATTAAAACCGTTCCAAACCAACCTTATGTATCCACACCAAACAGGCCCAGTACCTGGTAGGCCCATATAGTCCAGTCAATCTGGGGTTAGACCCAAAACAAATTGCAACAGAATTAATTTCACTAGGATGCTTTTCAATATAGTCCCCTAAACAACATCCCAAAAATTTTCCAAAATATTTTGGGTGGAAATGGGTCAAATTGCGTAATATGCTAATTAGCATAATTTTATATTTCAAAAATTGACTTAATGCTATAACTTGGCTATTAAATGTTCAAATTTGGTGGAAATTGTTTCTAAAGCCATGTTTGCGTGGCCTGGGAAGCAAATAAACACATTTAGAATATAATCACTTTATTACATAATGCACAATATGCAAATTAACAGCCGCCATTAGTGAAAAACTTATATTTCCCCCTAAATCTGAAACTCTTTTACTTAGCTCCATGAAACCAGTATCTACGCTCATAATTTCAGGGTCAAGGGTACCGATAAACACTAGGAGAACATCACAGTGGTATTGCATAATATAGAATATGCAAATTAGACGCCTCGGCCATGACTGAAAAATACACTATTAGTCCAAACTCAAAGTATTTGCAATAACCTGAAAGATCAAGTTCCAACGCCCATTTTATTACTTTCAAAGAAAGTAATAAAAGTATCTGTACCTCATTATGGAGAATATTTGACTGATTGCATTAGTACCAGAGCACTTTTGGCATGGGGTGGGGAGGGGGTGGTCATATAGCCCTGATGAAAACAAACAAATATCAAAATTTTATCATCAGAATTGTTTCGGAGGTGCTACATCTATGTCCTTTGAAGTCTCCACAAGTATGTCAGTGCAGTCCAGTGAATGTTTTTTTTATAAGTGGACCAATCAGTGCCACACCTAGTTTAACAGTTACACCTGAACAGTCACAGGAACTCTTTAGGTATTAAGAAACCCTCGACGTTTTTCATCACCATTATATGTAATCATTATAAAAACATAACTGTAAATCTTATTGTCAGTGATTTTATTTATTTTTAATATAGTTTATTAATTGATGAATGCACACTATAATGTATCTATACATTAATCATTATCAAAACATTATAACATAGCTGTTAATTTTATTTCACAGTTAATCATAAATAAGCACAATTGAAAATTGAGCACAATGTTTATAATAAAATGAACAGTAAATTTGCAAAAGTCCTTGCTAATGGTGCTGTTGTCTGGTAATGCGAGAAACGCGGACATGGTAAATGCAAAACCACAGTAAAGATCCAGAGGGAAGAGGTCAGCCAGTCAGAAAAAGTGAACAAACTGATGCTGGTGACCCAGTACGTCAAATGATTTTTGGGGTGAAAAATAACATAAAGAGTAAATCCACTGGAACTCAAGAGATTGCAGAACCAATTGTCACTGCTGCAGTCTCAAAACTACCAGAAAGAACCGTTTCCCGTCTTCCACCTATTAGACACCTCAAACGTACTATAAGATGTTTCAAGACTACTATCAGGAAAGCTGGTACCTCTACCACCAACTCAACAGGCCATGAAAATACCGGACCAATACAAAGAATATTTTAATGGGGAATCTTTCCTTCTGTCTGGCAGTGGTACAAACAATCCAGGTGGAATTTTACTGTATTCAACAGTGACCAACCTGAGGGTCCCGACCTCAACCGATCATCGGTTTGCTGATGAAACCACTAAAGTTGCACCTGAAATATTTTACCAGATTTACACCATACATGCT